ATATACCAGACTACCCCATATCTAGTAATCTCCCGACAATTCACGAAGGTACAAGATATTTCCAGAAAGCAGGGGGCGTGACACTAGTCACGTGACCTCGCTGACGTAACAGTATTGTTATAAAATGATAGAGCAGACTTCCTGGTTTCGCTGAACCTGTTTCTAACAGTTGCTATTGTATACAGATTGGCGAAAAATAGCGAAGTAGTGTTTCTCTTTAGCCGTGCAGTGATTGTCACACATTTTTTGATGGGATAAAACTTCAATCCACAAAGCTTTATTGTCTTTAGTGACGGGAGGCTGTAATATATGATGGGAATGCGTCATTCGTCAGTGCGCGTGACTTAAGAGTCAGGGCGGAATTGGTTCACAAACGTTATCGTCGGTGTATACTCATATTGAGTTGCCTAATTGAAAGCCTCTAACTGGTAGTCTATTTTTATTAACCTGTTTGAAAGCAGTTCCTCCAAAAATTTAAGTGACACCGTTTTACAAGCGTGATAGCCATGCTAAATTCATCCTTGAGTTTCGTGAATAACAACTAGGGAGCGACAAATCGCCACTAACCTACATTTAACACAGCGGAATTAATGATCGCTTCTCGCACATTCGCTACCACACGAGTATCACGTAAAACACGCACTCCTAAGGTTGAATAGACTGGAATTTGGTTACAGCTCTGTGTGAAAAAGGTGAAAGGATGTTGGATTAAAATGTCACGAAAAACGTGACGAAATATAGGATTTTGCTATCTGTACTACCATATTAGAAGGAATCAACTTATTCAGACTCGAATAGGAATAAAAAATAAAGAAACTAATTGTTTGTATGGTTTTGTATGTAATTAAGCACAAAGCTACACAATGGGCTATCTGTGCTCTGCCCACCACGGGTATCGAAACCCGGATTCTAGCGTTGTAAGTCCGCAGACATACCGCTGTGCCACTGGGGGCAGAAACTTATTTGTCGATACTTATGTATATATATATATATATATATTTGATGTAACTTGTTTTATATACCAAGATTAATTTCCTTTATATATAGACTGTTGATTGTTCAGTTATATGTTTCTACAACAATTAATTACTTTGTATTTTTAGGCAACAGAGGGAAGAAAAGAGGGTCAGGTTCCTGCTTCTACTGGATTAGGAATGAGACCACAAAATTTATTACTAAAACCTGGTTATGTTTCTTCTAGTAATAATGGAATTTCTGGTGAAGGGACTGTTTCAGATGGGACAAACATTCCATTTGATACTGCAGTTGAATCTGAATGGAGTAACTGGATTGGTCAGCATGTCTGTGTTGGAGGGGCCAAAAAAGGAATCTTGCGCTACTTTGGACCTGTTGAATTTCATGCTGGTCTTTGGTGTGGCATCGAACTTGATGAGCTAGTTGGTAAAAATGATGGATCAGTCCATGGAATTAAATACTTTACCTGTGACAACAATTATGGGATATTTGCTCCAGTGAAGAAAGTTCAAAAAATATATTTGCCTTACAATCTACCTCATGATTTTGATAGTGAAAATTTCAGAAAATTGGAGCATACTGGAGATTTTGTGCAGGCTAAGTCTAAACTTCCTACAATGCTATCGAAGTTTTCAATGCAAAGCTCTAAAAATATTAATTTTAGGAATTTAGATGCAGGAAATTCACTAAGTGAAGATCAGAAAATGTCACCTCTAAAAACTTCTTTTCATAATGAAAATGAAACATTTTTGCAAACTCCTTCTGATCCTCATAATGTTCCTGAAATATCAAAAGCTGAAAGTATTTTTCAAATGCTAGAGACACATTCTCAAGAAAACTACATGAGAACTGGGCAGTCTAAAGTAAAAGGTAGAGCAAACTTATTACAAAAGAATACTCTTACTACTGATAATAATTTGAATTCAATTCCTGTAGTGCAAGATCAAAATCAGGTATTTAAAATGACTATATCAGGTCTAGGTTCTACGTCTGTGAAGGAAAAAGGAGATGAGGTAGTATATGAAAACATTTTACCCCAGGGTCCCATGGACAAGTTGAATTCAACCTTTGATATGGAATATGATTCTTCTTTGGAATCTGAAAACACTACAGATATTTTGCCACCCATTTGGACACACAATAGTAAAGAAGTTGATAAAAGTTCTGAAGACCTGCAATATCCTAGAGAAGATTCACTATTTCACCAAGAAGAGTTCTTACATCACATTAAAGTTCAGTCTTTGGAAAATGTTTCTGATGATAATGAAAACTTTGATGATGAGGGTTTATCTCTTGATTTTGAAGAAAGTCTTGGAATTCTAACTCCGAACCAAATGAAAGATTTTACTTTATGTAGTGAGAAGCAAACATCTTTAGTTACTGACTTTCATGCTGTGATGCTTCCTAAGTCATTTTCTTGCGATGAAATGAATGAACTGCCTGAGTATGAAGTAGTGGAAGATGTAACAATAGAGTATAGAGATATTTCTGATCAAGCCCCATATATTTCTAGGAATGGGGGTAACACCTTTATCCAGCAAAACAATACATCTTTGCCTAATGAAAAAGTAATAACCAAAAATTCTGAGGAATCCTCGGAATATCTGCCTGAGATTTGTAGTGACAAGTCAGATTCTACAGAACAGTTTGTGGATGAAACCATTGAGACATCCATGCCATCTAGTTTCTCGAAGGATGAACATAAGAATCTCACTCCTGAGGGCATGCATAGAAATCTTACATATGGAACAGAAAGTATCCCTAGTCAAAGTTTTGGCCAAGAAATTCATGAAGTGTTTATACCTTTTGGATTTCAAGCAGACAATGTAGAAAAAGTAACACAAAAACAACTTTTAAAGAAACAGGAACATTCAGAGCTTCCTGTCCAAAATGACATTTTCCCCAAATCAGATATTTCTGATATAGAAGATCATGAGCTTTCTAGTGTTTATTTAATACAAGAAAATTCTGGTTCTTTAGTAAAAAATGGGAGATTAGCAGAAGATTACACAAAATTATGTGAAATAATGTTATCAAAAACATCTGATGACATAAAAAATGAAGGCAGGCTTCTTAATACATGTTTTTTAAGGCAGCTAAATTATCAGCAATCTGATACTCCTGATGAAAAAGTGTTAAACATCCATGAAACAATGGATCATTGTATTGGACCAAGTAAAATGTCTAACACTAAAGTGTTTATTCCAGTTAAACAAGATGAACAAATGTTAAGTAGAGAAACTTCTTTTGTTTCCATGGAACGACCTTCTTCTACATTCACGATAGGCAGTACTGATACAGGATTCCAAGGTGATCTAGACTCAGAGGGTATGCTTTTAGGAGAAGAATACTGCATGCGCTTTTCAACTTACAGCCAAGACAGTGGAACGCTGTCACTAGAACCAGAAATGGAACAACAGTTAAAAGTTAGAAGTGAATTTTATTCTGGAGAAAAAAAAATTACATCGGATGAAACAATTTCAGAACAACAAAATATAGATTTTGGTTCAAACTCTTTAGATAAACAACTTGGATTACAAGGCCAAAAACAAGGTGGTAAAACCCCAAAATATGAAATAACTGTTAACAGTGGACACGTTTCTGAGAAATTGCTGGGCTATAGAAATGAATCCACATATCAAGCTCATTCAATGTGGGAAAATAAAATGAAAGATGACTCTAAAGAACTTTTAAGATGGCAAGAAAATAAAGATATTTCTAATGTAACAACTGTTACTAGTGAAATTAAGATTGAGGGTGCTTTATCTGTATCATTATCAACAACTCCTTTTGCTACTGATCCATGTGCAGCAGACACAGAAAAAGATAAAAGTATTAGTATAAATAATATCATTAATCACACAATTAAAGATGACTCTGAAAATATTGAGGCTAAGGAAAGTAACCCACAAACTAATCCCAAGCAAGGAAAAGATGAGTTTGCACCATCTGTTGATAAATCAATTAAAAATATGAGAAATGAACAACATCCTCCCAAAAAAGTCAAAACACCCAAAAAGAATGTTATGTCTAAAATTAAAGCCATGATTGAATCTACTGGTAAAAAATCAAAAACTGAAGAAACTAAGAAGACTTCACAGGTGCAGAAGAAAAGCCGATGGGATGCTGTGACATCTAAAATCAAAGCAAGCATGGATGAGGAGAAGTCCAAACCCAAAACAAAAAAAGATATCAAGAGTAGAATTGATACAAATTTAATGGTCTCTCAGCAGCCACAAGAAAGCAAATCTCCAAAGTGTTTAAGAAACAAATCAAAATATTCTGTTAATGAAGGAAACTTTATCAGTAGTAAGCAGTCAGCATTTTCAAAATCAAAAAATACAACCAATTCACAGGGGTGAGTATATTGCTCTATGGCACTTGCATGATAAATATTTTATACATTTCCATTACTTTAATATACTATAAAGTTTTTAAAGTAGTGTCAAAGTGGTTTTATAAATTTAACTAATTAATATACTTGGGACTACAGCAGTTTGGCTATGTTTATTATTTTTAACTTTGAGGTTTAGAACATCAACATAGATTGTACTTATAATCTTTTGGGGGTTAATGTTCACAAACACTTCACTGTTAGTTTTAGAGAATAAAATGTGTTATATTGAAACTTCCTGGTATTTTCATTTTGCTAACCAATATTTGTTGTAAAATATACAAGTACATTAGTACAATCTTATTTTGGAAATGTTTAGATACAGTACAGATTTATTGCACTATCCTACTCTTCTAATCTATGAAAACATCTGAATATTCTACTTTTCAAAAAGTATTTGAGATACTTGTAAATAACAAGTCTTTTTTTTTCACAGAACCCAAAGAAAAATATGTACAAGTCCCATAATCTTAGACTCACAGGACTTCCATGATGAAAGCAATTTATCTTCATTGTCACCCAGCAGTACACTAAATTTTACATCTAGTCTGAGTGAGGCTGTGCCTTCTAGTAAGTTATTATGTATTGAAATTTCTAATTCATGAATTGTTTAAGTTGCTCATATTATGCCATGGATATTTTTCACTATATAATATGCTTCTTATTGAAAAGCTTAGAAGAATTTTCATTAATGGCATTAAGGCATACTCAGAAGTAAATTTTAATATTTCCTAATTGCTAATGTCAATAAGCATGAACTTTGTGTTTTTCTCTCAAATACTTGTGCTGCAAAAATATTACAGGACATATCAAATTTAAGAACAGTGGAAGCCTTTTCAACCTATCACATGAACAGTGGTATGCTTACCAATATTATTAAGTTGGTCATGTTTTCTGTTTTTCTGGTACTTTTATGTAATATATAATAGACAGGATTTAAAACCCTAAATTGACTTCAGCCAGCAAATGGAATTTTTAATAGTTAGTAGTAATGATGAGAGAGCATTTGAACCAATTTTTTATCATGTTTAAACTAATTGTTTTAATTTTTTAAGTATATTTATTAAATAAACTCTTTACTCAAAGTCACAATCTTACTGTAATGGATGTAGCATGTATGTCAGTATCTATGTATGTAACCAAAACTCCTTCTTCATCTATTGAATGGCATCACAACTAGAAAATCCATAAAAGATTTCACACTTTGGGTATTCAAGATTCAGACAATTAGAAAAATAACTGTGGTATGTGCAACAACCATTTCTTTATAATATAACACAATTTTAAATAAAAGTACTCTCCTCACAACAAGAACATGACTTTCACTAGAACTGTACATGAGGGTTTGATTATATCTTTATTGATGTAATTTTCAAATGTAGTACTAAGAAACTGAAGTTCTTAAAAAGCTTTTTTTTTCAATATAGGGTATCACTTTTAACATATAGAAACATTACAGTTTATATCGGTAAAATTTATGAAACTTTTGAGCTCTGTACATCGAATTATTTTGATGCAATGAGTTGTACTTGGCTAAAGAGCACAATCCAAACACCTTTAACCATGTAGTATTTCACAGAAACAAATCCATTTTTAGAAAATTGTCACTTTTTCTAACTTTTTTCAATGAGATATCAATACTATGATTAATAATTACTACCACAAACAGCCACCTGCAGTGTGGCATTTCTGCTAGTATAATCAATGGTAGCAGTTGTGCCATGTTTGAGTGTGAAGCATAACCCTTTGAACAAAAATGTTTTGAACTTCAGTAATATAAATATCCTTGATTAATATGTGTTAAACATTGTTGATTTTTGTCATATTGAGATTTGGAAGAAATCATGAAGCTTCCTGGGTTTATAGAGTCTTGTATGGGGAATCATATAAAAGCAAGCCCCATCTTAGATCTTACCCCTAGGTTCAGTTATTTAATATCTTATTGATCATGTAAGAAATGCAGTGTGGTTAACATTCAAATTTATTATATTGAAAGTATATTTTTTATTTGTTTACCTTCAAATAATTATTTATTGTTTTCCCTTGTAAACATCAACTGTACAAAGTTAAAAAAAAATTCTCCCAAATGAAAAAAAAAGTTTAATCCAAGAAATGTTCATGACTCCATCAAGTTTCACAGATAATCCAAAAATTTACAAGTTTTTGTGGCATACATAAGATAAATACTTACTTCAATGTAAGTAACCATATTTAACTCTTTGAGTGCACACTTAAATTTTGGGTGGTTTTTCAAAAAATGTCAATTATCCACTAAAAATTAAATTTTGAATTTGATTTTCTTTAGTACTTTTTCAATACCAAAATCCACTAATTGCGCTTTTGTGCGGTACTAAGGTGGGAAATTCAAGGACGTATGAGTATCCGGATTGTTATATTATGAGGAAAAGTTTTTATGACACTGTGGAGTAAGTCTGCATGTCACACCAAACAGCTGTAAATGCCAAGGCGGATAAATCCAACGATAGCATACAAAGAGTTAAGGAAATTATTCACTCAGTGTTCAGTCCTGATGACAGTTTCAAGTGAAGACACAGAGTGCAGTACAGGGAGGGCTGGCTTTCCCACATCTACCTTTTTGTAGCTACAGTGGATTAGTTCTTGACACAAATTCAATGGTTCTGGTAGTGCTGTCCATTGTAGTGACTATCCTCCACTTGTTGATTGCCAACCCTATTCCTCAGGGCTGAGTAACTCCTGCCTAGCTATAAGTGTCTGTCCCCAGACATTTCCATCCTGATAAGCTGTTCTTTTTGCATGTTCTAGAGGGGTGGACTCATTTGGAGATTTAATCTAAATACTCTTCTTGCCTTGTGCTATCAGAGTCTGATGTACTTGGTTTACTTTGCTTTGTGGACATGTGCAACTGTACATAAGGATCACAAATCTTTCAATTGACTGTGCATCCTCTTTGCTGATGTTTTCTGGCAGTGGAAAGATTACTAAAAGCAAGTGTAACATCTGAGTAAACTTTCTATGTCTCAAAGGCACTTTCTTTCCTATACCACCTGATGCCAAGGTAGTATCACATCCAGTGAAAGCATGGAAAAAGGCAAAGCCTTGCATTTATCTTGCCCCAAATGGCGAACAATGGTATGGGCTGAAATATATCAATGGCGTTTCCCATTAGTATCAATGGTTTATATCATTATCCTTGAATAGCCATTTCATGCTGCATGGGAAGTGTGAGCCTTATGTCTGTTTCCTCATGGTTGCATGGTGCAATACCCAGTTTGTGTAGTTTCTGTGAGCCAATAACTTCCTCATTGTATGTGCTGAGGATAACTGTGCCTTCCTGTGCTGTGAATACCTCAATGGATTTTGCCAAAAAAAGTAAAAACTCAGTTTTGTTTTCATCATTGCATAATAATGCTTGCCAGTTTGTTGGAATTGCTGTATTAGTTGTTCTAATTCTCTGCTCTCTAACTTCTCTGGTGCTCTGTTTTAAGCTGCCCTCTACATATCTGTCCCACACCACATCAACTCGTTTGACATTCAGAGCTTGTCCAAGTATGTAGGCCTCAGACACTGACATAGCATAGTCCAGGAAAAATCTTGCAGTTTTTGGTGTCAGCATTTGAACTACTGCATCATCATCCAAGATCTTTACTACAACGTCTGGTGCTTGTCATGTGTTGTTTTTCAAGGTAGGAAAGGATGTCTGATTTTTAGCTGGATTTCATTTGTCCTTTAGAAGACGGAGAAGGAAGCTATGTTTAGTGCTCATGCCTGAATAAGAACTCCTCTAGATTTCCATCTTGGACTTGGCAGGCATTGTATAATCTGGCAAATAAATTACACTCACTTTTTAGGGCAGCGACCTTGGTTTGAAATTTCCACTGAGTTTTTTGTATGGTTCCAAATAGTGGTACATTTATTCTATTTATGGTGTCAGTGATTGCCTTTGAACATCAGTTAAGTCTTTCTTCCACATATTCCTCATAGCTTGCTTGTTATATCTTTTGAGTGCATATAATTGATTACACTACAGATGCAGGCATAATATCCTTCTTGTCTAGGTTACAATGGTCTACTGTGTCTTCAGTGAAGGGATTACCCATTACCTCTATTGGTGACATGAGGACTTTGACATCTTTTGCAAATGACTTTTGAATTCCAGGTGTCTAATCATGATAGCATGTGTTATCATTTTTTGGTGTTCAAGAATGTATCTTCAAATTATTTTATTACTCTACAACCTATGGTCCCGCCACCATCCAGCATTTCAAAACTCCAGAGTTTTCTGCGAGTCCTACAGCACCTCCATCACCTTTGGTGAACTTGTTTTCTTGTTCATGATTATGTTATAGTGCTATCAGGGAAAACACATGAGCAGATTTCTGTACAACAAACCTTACATCTTCAAATGCCTGGTAGATTGTAACATGTTTTTCTGGCAGAGCCAGAATGTCTCGAAGATGCATTGGTAACCACCTTGCATTGTGATGTTGATTCATAGCAAATATCCTGGATAGACGTTGACCAAGGATTTGCAGATACAGAGGAAAGTCTCCTTCTCTGAGTGACTTTACATATCCCAGGAACATCAGTTTTACCTTTAGAGTAGTAAACTAGTACTTAAATTGTGGGTGTCTTTCACATGTGACAAAATTTTGCTGTTCACCATCACCATGATTGTACAAGTATTTTTTAAATGGACTTGTCTGTAGGATACGCAGAGCAGCAGCAGTGACTTGGTGGGCATGTTCACTATGCCTTTCCAGGGGTAGTGATTAGCTTGGACTAAGGCACCTGTCTATTCACTGTTCTTCGGACAGTCGTCAAGAGGTCTAAGAACAGCCATTTTGATGTGTAGACCTCCCATCATTACTATAATGGCAAATAATAGTTGGTTCATGGTGATGACTGAAGTTTGCCCAGGGTTGCTTCTTTCACCGCTTTCATGGCTTAACAAATCATTGCATGAGAATGAAATGAGGAGGCTTGTTATAGCAGTTGGTCTTGTTAGTAAAGGCTGGAGAGATGCATGATAAGCAGACCACAATAAATAGTCCTCATTTTGTAGTTCCTCTTTGTTTAAGAGTTCCTGTACCTTTTCTAGCCATTTATGTTCCATTTCCATGGTATTTGCTATATAATCTGAAGGGGGCTTTGAAGAACCATTGGTGGTGGTAGCAAATTGATCATTGGTGGGAGTTGTGACTGGCAGGATATCTGTATGTTGAGAAGGAAGTTGTGAGATTCCTTTTGGTTTGAAATATCAGGATTGAGGTAAGTTTTGTAGTGGTTGACCCCAGGTGTTGGGTAAGGGAAATGGCAGTCCCATAAAAGGAGTCTTCTGCTGTTATATAACTTGGGTTGTGATCTATATTATCTACACTTCCAGTGGTCAGGAGGTCTTTCTTGAGCTTTAGAGGGCACACAACTTGTTCCCTTTCATGCAGGGAATATACACTGTAAGATGATATTTGCATTGCCCAGTTATATGAAATGGCCAATCCAAATTTGTGCGGTTTGTCAACTAGTTCCCTGTTTTGTGTCTCAGCATGTATTATGAGGGAAAGATAGATATTCAATTGGGTTTCCTGGTTAGTGTTGTGTTGAACTGTTGCAGATTCAAGTCTTTAATGCTTAACAGCATTAAATATGAGGACACAATGTAGGACACTAATTGGGCTAATGCTGTACTTTCTAGTGCAGCCTAGCTGTCCTCTTGCTTTGTTGATACCTATGAAGATTTGAGTCTGTTGTCAAGCATGTTCTGTGGTAGAATGCATCAATGGCATGCATATCTCCTACAGCCAGTTTAGCCAATAACTTTGTGTCTTTTAACTCAGTTGCCCAAGATCTCACATTTTTGTCAATATCAATGGCTTTTCATCTTCATCACAGAAAAAACAGGATGTGCCTTCAATTATTGTAGGGATTCCTTGGTTATAACGGGTCTTTACAGGACTCTCAGTTTCAAGTGCCATCTCTGATTTATGCTGCTGTGCCTTCTGTAACTTCAGGCTGTTGCATTTGTTATAGTACTGTTATCATTTGTTATCATACTGCTTCATGTCCTCTAAGTGTCTGTTCCACCCATCTCTTTCATCCATCTTGTCTAAGTCTATGCAACTCAGCTCCTGGAAGCCCTGCAGATTGTCAGAAAATGTTGCATATCCTGAGCTGTAGCCTGATCTTGTGTTTCTTGTTAGACACACAAGCTTTTCATTTTTCTGGTCTTGAAATAAAGCACATAAATTCCAGTTAGTAGGGCACACATTTTTCCTGTGTGCTTGGCCTGTACTGGTCATTTCACCAGATTCTGGCCATCTATGACTGGTGCTGGATTCTGGGATACTACTTCTATGCATAATGTCCAGTTAGTACATTTTATAAGTATTCTGTACCACATCCATATCTTCTTCCTGGAAGCACATTATCAATTATTAGATTTGTGGATATACATATTGTTACGTCTCTGTTTGTTAGATAATTTTCCGTAACTTCGTTCCAACGAAACTTTAGTGACACAAGTCCTTACTTAATAAAACTGGTTTATTCTTTCCGAATATAACTTTACGATACACTTAATTTCAACATTCGCGCTAAAACAAATACTATAACGAACGAACAAC